TACAGTCCCTTGTGTTTCATTTTCCTCTTGTCTGAATATCTGGTGCCGATCGCTCACGAACCCTTTGATAAAGAATTTCATAATACATGCGCGCTGCATAGTTTAAGCGTTCCGAGTGCATGACCGCCCCAGAAAGATTTTCAACAGAAAAGAGGAGAGGCCGAAAAGGGCCGTGAACAGAGCAGCTCCACGGATCTTCAGTATGAACAGATTAATAATAAGTGAACTGATTATTAATCAAATGAACTGATTGGTGACAGAAGTCATGAACTGATTAGTGACCATAGAACAAGGACAACAGTCATAACCTGTGACTGATAACATCTCACACTGTAAATGCTTGCAGTCAGATGTGAGTTTAAATGAGATTCTATGAAACAACAATATTCATTCTGTTAAGGCACTAAGGACAGAATGTGTCATGGAACGAGCCGTCACATCATGTAAATAAAAGCGAATGAACAGGGTGTTGACTACGCGGCCCCAGTGCAAATATCCTGCATTGTTATACCATTATTCAAAGCAGTCGAAGATGCGATACCTCTGGTCGAGTGCGCCCTGAGGTTGTCAGGAGGCTCTAAATCTGATGCTCTGTAGGCTTCAGAAATGCCCTCACACAGCCAGTGTGACAGGCACTGGGTGGATAACGGGCGACCTGCAGATGCGTCTATAGTGCACAAACAAATGTCGAGTCTGACACAGTGCCGCCGTGCGTGCTACGTAATGCGTCAATGCACGTACGGGGCAGAGAAGATGGAAAGATGCTTCTTCTGATTTGTGGGGAGGAGGGAAAAATCCCTCTATGATGGTATCGCTCTTGATTTAAATGAGCTTGTGATGTTTTTAGGCATAAACGCTGGATTAGGCCTCAGATCAGCTGAGCTGCCATCAGCCTGAATTCTGAGACATGACGGAGAGACAGAGAGGGCAGATAAATCACTCACCCTCTTAGCGGATGTTAAAGCCAACAGCAGGGCTGTTTTAAGAGACAAGAATTTAATCGGAACCTGATCTAGTGGCTCGAATGGAGCTTTGATCAGGGCTCGCAGGACCATCGTTAAAACCCACTGTGGAGAAAGTGGGCGTGAAACAGGCCTGCGTCTCTGTACACCTTTAAAAAAAAATGCTTCATCAGCGGATGATTAAAAGCCGTTCTGTCCCCGAAACCTTTGGGACAAGAAGAGATGGCTGCAGCATTCGTTTTAATCTGCTGAACGCCAGATTTCTGTCCATCAGCTGCTGCAGAAAGGACAGCACGCCACCTAGTGGACATGAGGTGGCCTCTACACCTTTCTCCGTACACTAGCGCTGAATAGCTGTCCACTTTTATGTGTACAGCGCTGCGGTGGAGGCAGCACGTGAATCCTGGATTGTGCGCCCTACATCTTGGGAGAGACCCATCCTCTCTAAACGGATCAGCTCAGCGGCCAGACCCAAAGGTGCTGGCCTATTTCTGGATAACTCCTGATCGCTCCTCCCACTTGGAGGAGAGCATCCTCCCTCCACGGCAGTTTCCACTGGCGCCCTGATAACAGGCGTCGTAGAATTGGGAACCATAGGGCGTTCACGCGCTCGGGAACCACTAGGAGGGCGGTCAGTCCCTCCTCCTGAACTCGGTTCAGAAACCGTGATATCAGAGGGAGTGGGAAAAATGCTTAAAGAAGCATTTTGGGCCACGGGCTGTGAGCAAACGCATCCACCCCAGCGGTGGTTCGTCCCGCAAGCTCAGTGAGAACCATAGTTGACACTGAGCGTTCTCTCGTGTGGCAAATAGGTCAATGGCCGCTCTTCTAAATTTCTGCCACGTCTGAGCCATCAGCTCGGGATGGAGGCTCCAGTCCCCGTGACACGGACCGCCCCTGGACATCACATCCGCCCCTCTGTTCAGAACACCGGGGATGTACACTGTTCTGATGGAGAGCAGATTTTGGTGTGCCCAACACAGCAGCCGTCTCGCAATGTGTAACATTTGGGCTGAGCGCACACACCCCTGCCGGTTTATGTATGCTGCAGTCACCTTGTTGTCTGTGTGAATCAGAACATGTTGATTCCGCAGCACAGGAGCAAAATGTTGAATCACATTCAAAACCGTGCGACATTCCAAAACATTTATATGAGCTGCTTTTTGGGGTGGCCACAGTGCCCCCACAGCTCGAGAAATGCATGTGCCTCCCCAGCCTGACAGGGACGCGTCTGTGAAAACTGACACGTGTGATATAGGTCTGCTGACAGGAACTCCCTCCGACAGAACAAGAGTGATTCTCCAGTGTTTCAGGTCGCTTCTCACGGAGGGGGACACAGCGATCAACTGTCTCTTCTGCCTCACCGGATCCACACGCAAATGAGCAAACCACCTCTGGTGACATCACATGTGAAGTAAGCCCAACGGGATCACCGTGTGAGTTGACAACATCGTTCATAACAACTTCATGACAGAAAAGGCTGTTACCACTCTGCCCGGTTTCACGTGGCGGAGCTGGTCCTTTAGAGCTTCGGTTGTCGTCTGAGATAAGCGAGCCCTCATAGTGACAGAGTTTAGCTCCACTCCCAGATAAACGATCGTCTAGGCTGGGAGAACTGAACTCTTTTCCCAGTTTATGGTGAAGCCCAGATTTTGTAGGTGTGACGTCAACGTCTGAGTTTGCGCTGCTGCCTCTTGTCTGGAACGGGTCAGCAGCAACAGATCGTCCAGATAAAACAGAATTCTCATCCCTGCTCTGTGTAGCGGCTGTAGAGCCGACTCCACGCATGCACGGAGAGAACATGCAAACTCCACCCAGAAGGCCCCTGGACCGGGGTTTGAACCAGGGGCCTGCTCGCTGAGAGGCAGCAGCTCTACCAGTTGCGCCACCGTGCTGCCTGACTCATTTACAAGAGACCTGATTTCATCAAAAAATTAAGATGCAAGCAGCATTGAAG